AATTAAATTAATTAAACCATTTGATTTTAGATTGCAGATGAAAATCCAGAATATCTAAATGAAGATATTAAGGCTATTATAACAAGACGATTTTTTATGAATGTTGAAGAATTAGAAAAAGTATTGAAACCAATAAAAGAAGCAGTGAAGTGTTTGGAAATGAAGTCAACAACTTTAGCAGATTGTTTTTGTCAATTAATAAAATTATCATTTTCAATAAAAAATCTACCAGAATCAACATCCACTTTCCGTAACCAATGTATCACCACCTTTAATAAAAGATGGAAACAGTTGACTTTAATTTGTACATGTTGGCTTATCTTCTTCATCCACAATATTGTGGTATGCATTTATGTATTTATTCAAAAAATTAAGCAATTCAACTGCTCATTTTTTCTAATTTAATAGGGAAAGGTTTTCAGAAAACTGTATTTCGTCATGTGGTCCACTGGGCTATTAAAAATATTTGGTTAAAGATGGGTGGTGGATCAAATTCTACACCAAAACTAATTGCACAACTAGCTGCCTATTGTGAAAGAAAATCACCATATGAAGATGAATTTGTACCTGCATACTACTCAATTGAAAGTTGGTGGAGATTAATAGAACAAAATGAAAATTACATACAAGAACTTGCTCTGAAAATTTTATTAATAACTCCAACAAATGCAGGTTGCGAGAGAGTATTTTCAGTTCTTGGGTGGTACATGAATAAAAGAAGGACAAGGTAATTATTTGTTAAATATTTCCAACTTATCAATATTATAAAAATTAGTATAAAATTTAATACTAAATAATATTAGGTTGAGTGTGGAACAATTACAAAGCCTTTCTAAACTCCATGCTTATTATGTCTCGAACACCAAAACTGAGCTGAAATTTGCAGCCCAAAATATGAATGATGATGATATTTATAATGCTATGCAAAATATTTTTTCTGATGAAGTTGAATTAGATGAAATTGATGAAGAAGAATTGGAAAATTTTGATGAAGTAGAAAATATTGAAGATGAAGAAACTTTTGATATAGATAATGGAAGCAATGGACAATTTGATAATAATGATAATGAAATGCAAATTGAAAATTTTTTCAATCTAGTAGATAAAGAATTAGCAGAACTATTAAAAACACAGGAAGTTCAGGTTGTCATTGAGCCAATAATTATTGATCATGGTGAAAAAGAATTTGATATAGATGATTTGTTGGACCAAGAACTTGTTGATTTAAAAAAATTTTTTTGTTTTGTTGGAAATTTTGGTTGAAAAAAGGGTTTTTTGAAATTTTTTACTTTACAAGTTATATATTTTTAATAATACTTTCACATGAAGGACTTTTTTTACTTCAAAGACAAGCAAGATATTGTTTATGGTTAACAAAAATTTTAAATTTTATGTTAGTACTTTTATTTAGTACTTTATAAAGTGTAAAAAGCATATAAAATAAAAAATTATTGTCCATAGTTAATTTTGTTTACAATGAATAATTTCCGTTGCTTGTAATTAATTTCAAATAATTTCGTCACCCGTAATTAATTTTGTAAATAATTTCGTAAGTACATATTACGTATTACGTATTACGTTTTTGGCAAAACAATTACCATCCCATGTATAGTCAGACAGTGGAATTTTATTTATCATTGTTAGGCTTTTGCCAGCAGGTACTTCTATTAGTACTGCCAAGAGAGAGATTGCACAATAGAGATTTGAGTAGGCTCTGAGTTGGGAACCAGAGGCCTGAAACATAGATTAGTGGACCCCTGAGTTGTGTGCGGATACAGGGAGTTATACTTATAGGACATTTATTTATTTTATCATATATATTTATTGGACACAACCTGAGCCGTGATTGAATTTACACGCTCGCAATACTATAGTGTCCTGGTTCTCTGCAGCGATAACAAACAACTCCTGCTTTGCCACTATTATTATTATTGTTGTTGTTGTTGCTGTTGTTATTATTATTATTATTATTCTGGAGTTGTGGGCAGTTCCATTTAACATGTCCAGGTTGATTACAGTGGAAAAATTTGATTGGTGGACAACTTCCATTATTTTGTATTCTTGGTCTTTGATCTTGTTGGGAATTTTTATTCCCTTGCATTAATCCAGCCAATTGTTTGATCAATGTTTCTAGTACTTGATCTCCTCCTCCTACATTCATTCCTGGAACGAAAGGTGTCACTTGTTGTGCCAAGTAAGCAGACAAACTTCCTCCCCTTGAATAAGTCATTTCATAGGCTTTAGCTCTGTCTATTGCTTCTTGCATAGTATCAGGTAAGAAAGGACTGACAGCTATGGATAGTTCTGGTTGTAACTTTTCCATGAACATTCTGGCCTTTACTCTGTCTGGATAATTATTTCCACCATGTTCAATCCTTCTGAATAGTTCATAAATTGCTGCCACAAAAGTATCCACAGTTTCTCCTGGTAGTTGTTTCCACTTTTCTAGTTCTGCTGCCCATCCTTCTAGTCCTATATCTTTCTTGAAAGTTTGGAACAAAGCTTGCAGCTATTGTGCTGGCATCAGTCTGATCATTCCATCTATCTATATTAGCTCTCACTTGACTCCACCATGTTGCTGCCCCTGCTTTTAGTCTTGGTACTGCTACTGGTATTCTCCTATAATTTGCCACTCTGTTAGTAATAAAAGCTTGCTCCATTTCTTCTAGCCATGTTATTGGATCTTGATCCCCTCCATAATATTCAGGATATTTTACATTATTTAATTCAGTCGCAGCATGTTGTGATGGCACTATTGCATTTACCACTTGAGTTATTGCAGCTGCCAAGTTTTGTAAAGCCGCTGGATCATTTGGTTTAGATTTTGTTGTTGGTGATTAGGTTGATTTACTTGATTAAAAAGTTGGTCAAGACCTAGTGTTGATTCACTATCTGAATCACTTTCTATTGTTGAATGACTTTCTTCTGAGTTAGTATTCTCAGTATCACTTGGATTATTGTTATCTAAGTTATTGTTTTCTTCCTCCATAGAACTTGGAATTACTTCTTCAGGTGCTAATGTAAATTGATTTGTTCTTGCTGCTGTTGCTAAATAGTCCCTATATAATTGATTGAAGTCCTCAGGGTATTCTCGATATCTAATACTAATCAGTAAAGCTTGTGCTAACTGTTGAACTTGTTGTCTGTTATGTTCTTCTAATAAGGTTAGTAAAGTTACTACTGTATTGGCTGTACAATCCCTTGTTCTGTAATGGTCAACTATCCAATTCCAGAAGATTAAAAATTCTGGTGGAAGATTCTGTTGTAATGGATAACAATCAGCACAAGATAAATCCTGATGAATGTGTGCTATAGAGATTAAATGTGGGTGCCTTTGATGTATTCTTTCATGCTCTAAAGTATTTGTTCTTATTATATTAAAGTTCATCCACTAATCCTCATAAGGATCAAAATCGTATGGTGGTTCGTCTGGAATGTCTTCAAAGAGAACCTCTGGTTGGTCAATAATTTTCCTTTGTTTAATTACTTTAGGACAGTCTTCCTCCCAATGTCCTTTGTTCTTGCAGATCTTGCACAAAGGTTTCTCTTAGAAAATAAATTATATTTCCTCTTCTTCTGTTAGTCCTTGGAGTCGGCAATGTCTTTTTAAGTGTCCTTTTTGTCCACAAGAATAGCACTTTTTATTTGTATATAGAGTGTTGGTAGATCCTAAAGGTTGGTAGTGTAATTCAAATAATCGAGAATTTCCATAGAAATATTGGAATACTAGGTCAATTAATTGTTTATCCTGGATTTCTCCCTTCAAAACTTTGTTGTAAACACAGTCAAAAATTTCTGCTTTAATTATTTCTGGGTGATTTTTCTTCAATTGCATTTATTTATAATAGAAAATAAAAGGGGTGAAAAATAATCTCGTAAGGTAAGAAAATGAAATTAAAAGGAATAAATAAAAAGTAAAATGAAATAATTATAAAATTGAAAAATGTTCAAAATGAAAAGTTTAAAAAGTGTGCAGTTAGAAAATCCTGTAGAATTTTAATTGATTTTTATCAAATTACTGATGTAAAAATCCACACAACTCACACCAAGTTGTCACCAATTAATTTTGGGAGAGCATATTTTAATTGATGATAACAGATTTTTATTGATTTATGTGGATCAGAATGAATAAGCTAATACTAACGAATTAGATTTATTAGTGAATAATTTTGTTTTAGTGATTTGATAAAAATGATTTATTTAATTTTGTATTTAGTCGAAACTAATTATTAACTTATTATTAAGTTAATTTGTTACAAAGTTATTCTTTGATTACAGCGAATTCTCATTCCTTATATACATGTTTGATTATATGTATCCTAGTTTAGGATAATTAGCCTAGATTAAGATATTTATCCTAATCCAAGATAATTCTCCTGAGTTAGGATAATTCTCTCTTTCTAGGATAATTATCCTTCTTTGTACTCAGGATAATTCTCCTAATCTAAGATATATATCCTGATTCAGGATAATCTTCATTAATTTCTACTAAATAAAGGTCTAATGTGAATGTGTTACTAATTAATTACTTCTGCAGAAGGTAACACGAACTCATATAATTAAATTAAATCATTCGGAAATTATTACAAAATAAAAATAGAATAAAATAAATTAAAAATAAATAATAGATAAAATAAATAATTAAAAATAAATAAATAATATAAAAATAATATAGAAACTATCACTCCGGATTTTCGGGGTTATTGATCAGCGAATTAAGGTCCAATTCGCATTCTGGTGACAATAATAATAATAATAATAAAATGTAATAAAAAAGACAAGTCTATCAACAAAACCCAATTTAGCTCTCAATCAACTTTGTATTTGGGCAGAATTGGGGGATGCTAAAATTCATTTTACTAATACTTTTCAAGTAACTGAATTAATTTGGTTACTTAATGCCTTAGGAGTTACTA